GTCCTGGGTTGCTAACATGCTGCCCATAGGTGCCCATCCATCTGCAGAAAGCTTCCCTGGTTCTCCCCCCCCCCCCCCCGAGATTAGCCTTTAAATAAGCACAGTCTGTATAACAGGTTGTGGTGTGTGATGGGTTGCTTGTGGTGTTTGTGCATAGTGCCCATAACAGATTTTTCTGATATCCATATGTGCCCATGGGTTGTTGGTGGCTCCTGGCCTACATGAACCAGACACTCGAGTCACAAAAAAAAAAAAAAGAACAGTAGAATCTTTTGCTGATCAAACAATCGCTATTGTTATCTCCAAAAGTAGAACTAGGAACAAATGTGTGTTGTTCTAAAGGTCTGCCTATTTCAACCTGCTTACCTAATGAAGAACTTATGCATCCAAAGTTAATGAAAGAGTGGTTTTTGAGATAGATAGATAGATGATAGATAGATAGATATAGATAGATGATAGATAGATAGATGATAGATATAAATGGATAGATGGATAAATCGATTGATTGATGGCTAGATGGCTAGACGGCTAGATGGCTAGATGGCTAGATGGCTAGATGGCTAGATGGATAGATGGATAAATGGATAGATGGATAGATAGATGATAGATAGATGAACACTACATACTTATCAGGTGATCTCAACACAGGCATGTGCGCACATGTAGAAAGTGATCTCAATCCAATATGTTAAATTAAACATAAAAAGGCCTTAACTTCCATAGAAATGTGCAGAGTGAGCATCACGTGTTACATAGCCCATGACAAACAGTGATAGAAACAAGAATATAACCATATATAGGAAGGTGTTGAAGACAGGATCAAGATTTCTATATTTTTAAGTGTTATGCTCTCCCTCTCAAACACTGTCAAGCAATGGATATCTCACCCTTTCCCTGGTCCAGTGTCAACCTGAGTGCTGCAAGGAAGAGCAATGTGAAGTATAGTGAAAATAGCTGGAGCCTCTGAGTGCTGCTTGAACCTGTGCAAAACCATAACCTGGAATGTGTTTTGGGGTCTCATTGTAAAATGGGATGGTGAATGTTGATGTGCAAAGGGGACATGAAAATATTCCGTTAAACTATAAGTTGCAATACTTGTTCCTCAAGATTGTAATTGAGAGCAGCCATGTGAAAAGGAGGGTTTTTGTCTGGCTTCAGATTCACTTTCTCTCACTGTGTCTCTTGCACAGTAGTACACAGCCGTGTCTTCCAATTTAAGGCTGTTCATTTGCAGATAGAGGAGGCTGTTGGAATTGTCCCTGGAGGCAGTGAATCTTCCCTTGACTTTATCCAAGTAGTAAATGTAATTAGATTGGGTATATATGTAGGCTACCCATTCCAGGTCCTTTCCAGGAGCCTGCCTCACTCACGCCATGTAGTAGCTGCTGAAGGTGAACCCGGAGGCTTGACAGGAGAGGTGGAGGGACTCCCCAGGCCTTTTCACATCTCCCCCAGGCTCAACCAGCTGGACCTCCGATTGGACACCTAGAAAGAAAGGCATATTGAGAGACCAGATCCATGTTATGAACACCTAGAATGTACCAGCTTTCTTTAACTGGAAGAATGAATTTACCTTCCAAAGCTGCTGAAAAGAAAACCAGTTGAAGGAAAACTATCATTTTCCTGGTTTGATTCTTGGAGAGTTAAGCAAGAAGCAGTCCCACATGTGCATGGGAAGGGAGGTTCTCTGACTGCTTTAAAGAGGAAGCTCTCTCTGAAGATTTACATACCCATCGGTATAAAAGCACCAACAGAGAATCTGGGCCGTGAGGGACTAGAGTCATGTCTGCACGTTGTCAGAAATCTCCTTCTTTGCTGCTGCACAGTTTGTACAGGTCTTTACAGTGATGCTTTGATGTATAACTCTCGGGGGGGGGGGGGAAGCAACACAAGTTTTCAGAAATTCCATCACTTTCAGCATGCCCAGTATTTCTACCGTAGAAGGTGGGGAACAATTTCTTACCATAAATATGGAGAGGAATTGGGCTGGAAGGATATGGTCAAATGAAGCAGAAGAAAATTTAGATTAAATATGAAGTAACACTTCATATCACAGCTCAACAAAGAAATGAAATGTCTGTGGAATGCTCTCTCTTAAAGGCTTTAAATAAAAATATATATGAATAGCACATGTATAAGTATCCCATCTTTATGTAGAATAGTAGAGAACATGACATAACATTCTCATAGCTCCTTGTTCTTGCTCTCCTCAAAGCATAGGGAATCCTGTATTTGTAATATATAAATGAGAAATATAAAAGCTGTGTTTACATGGGGGGGGGGTGTCACTAACATGGAGCTCATAAGCACGTATATTTGCATGTTCAGTAACATTCACTATTTGTTTGTCAAGGCATCCTCCCTATTCTTTGGTCCTCCACAATACCAAGAATAAGATACACAACAACCAATACTTGGGTGAAATCAGGCCACAACTTTATTGACAACAAATGTTTGGCATAGATATTGGGTAAACCCCTCCCCTTTCTGGCAATAAAGGGGTATCTCCTCCATTGGATTGCACCTGGTGAGTACTATCGCCCCTCACCCCTGCCTGGGCATCCCAACAGAAGTATCTCCCCACGATCCCTTTAACGGGATACTCCATTTCGAAGGCAGAGGCTACAACCTCCCCTCCGAACACGACTTTGCCTATCCAATGCGTAAACTGTCAAAGATGTGACATTGGCAATGAGGATGGCAAAAAGCAGAGGGCTGAGTTGGAAAATTTCAACCTGGTCCCCAATACGGTGATCATCTATGCTATAGCAAGGTGGAGCAGAACAATATGAAATAGCAATATGTAAAGTGGGTGGGTGGGAATCCAATGAAAAGTGGCTGCAGAACAAGCCATGGACCTGTATTACATACTGGAGGAACGAGCTTTAACTTGGTTGCCCATGTTTGCTCCCGATTCACTGATTAGGCAAGTGGACAAGGCAAATTACTGAAGCAACAAGTTTGGCCAAGAGCCTTCCTTTGATGCCTGGGAATCCCAAGTCAGATCCTGGCATGCAAGGGAATGCCAGCCGACAATGACGCCCACCCAAGAGGGTGAATTCATTTCTGATAGTATCCTCTCTTCCCAATGGAAATTTGGTTTCAAAGAAGCTCTTTAGTGTAGCCAATAGAACAAGTTGTGGCATGTAGCTGGTTGTGGTGTGTGTGTGTGTAGTGCCCAGTATAGAATGTTTGATGGCCCTTGGAGTAAATGAAAAGAGAACTGAATCACATTTTAAAAATACATATTTGTAGATCTGATCCGGAACCTGAGATCATAATTTGAGGCCGTTTTTATGGTCCTCCTCCACAAGAGGTCTGGAGGGTGGCAAAATGAGAAGGAGCCATTTCTGAAATGTATCCCTGTTTGTGGAATGCTCTCCCCAGTGAGGATTGCCTGGAACCATCATTATACATCTGTAGGCACCAGGCAAACCCTTTCCTCTATAATCAGGCCTTTGGCCTATAACTATTTGTGGTCTCTTAGAAGTGGGTGAGTTGTTTTTAATGTATTCTTCTTTCCTCTTGGTTTTAACATACCTATGTGGGGTTTATTGTTTCTTTGGTTGTAAGTCTGATTGGATTGCCCTGTGCGAGATAAAGGAACTGACAAATTCATAATAATAACACTAATAAATGATTATAGTTTGCCTGGGGAGAGCCCCAGGTGTACAGCTGCATGACTAGCTGTCTGTCTCCTTTTGAATGGGCAGACAATTGGTGAAAATTATCTTAACAGGTTTCTTTGGTCTCTGGCAGCTAATAGAATGTCCCTAGAATCATAGAATCATAGAGTTGGAAGAGACCACAAGGGCCATCTAGTCCAACCCCCTGCCAAGCAGGAAACACCATCAGAGCACTCCTGACATATGGTTGTCAAGCCTCTGCTTAAAGACCTCCAAAGAAGGAGACTCCACCACACTCCTTGGCAGCAAATTCCACTGTCGAACAGCTTTTACTGTCAGGAAGTTCTTCCTAATGTTTAGGTGGAATCTTCTTTCTTGTAGTTTGGATCCATTGCTCCGTGTCCGCTTCTCTGGAGCAGCAGAAAACAACCTTTCTCCCTCCTCTATGTGACATCCTTTTATATATTTGAACATGGCTATCATATCACCCCTTAACCTCCTCTTCTCCAGGCTAAACATGCCCAGCTCCCTTAGCCGTTCCTCATAAGGCATCGTTTCCAGGCCTTTGACCATTTTGGTTGCCCTCCTCTGGACACGTTCCAGTTTGTCAGTGTCCTTCTTGAACTGTGGTGCCCAGAACTGGACACAGTACTCCAGGTGAGGTCTGACCAGAGCAGAATACAGTGGCACTATTACTTTCCTTGATCTAGATGCTATACTCCTATTGATGCAGCCTAGAATTGCATTGGCTTTTTTAGCTGCCGCGTCACACTGTTGGCTCATGTCAAGTTTGTGGTCAACCAAGACTCCTAGATCCTTTTCACATATACTGCTCTCAAGCCAGGTGTCCCCCATCTTGTATTTGTGCCTCTCATTTTTTTTGCCCAAGTGCTATACTTTACATTTCTCCCTGTTAAAATTCATCTTGTTTGTTTTGGCCCAGTTCTCTAATCTGTCAAGGTCGTTTTGAAGTGTGATCCTGTCCTCTGGGGTGTTAGCCACCCCTCCCAGTTTGGTGTCATCTGCAAATTTGATCAGGATGCCCTTGAGTCCATCATCCAAGTCGTTGATAAAGATGTTGAATAAGACCGGGCCCAAGACAGAACCCTGTGGCACCCCACTAGTCACTCTTCTCCAGGATGAAGAGGAACCATTGATGAGCACCCTTTGGGTTCGGTCAGTCAGCTAGTTACAAATCCACTGAGTGGTAGCATAGTCAAGACCGCATTTTACCAGCTTCTTTACAAGAATATCATGGGGCACCTTGTCAAATGCCTTGCTGAAATCAAGGTAGGCTACATCCACTGCGTTCCCTTCATCTACCAGGCTTGTAATTTTCCCTATTTTCATGTGAAATGTTGGAGGGAATGCAACTCCTCTGTTTTGATTAAAGGAGGGTTTTTGTCTGGCTTCAGGTTCACTTCCTCTCACTGTGCCTCTTGCACAGTAATACACAGCCGTGTCTTCGGGTTTAAGGCTGTTCATTTGCAGATAGAGGAGGCTGCTGGAATTGTCCCTGGAGATGGTGAATCTTCCCTTCACTTTATCCAAGTAGTGAATTGTAGCTGAATTGTAGTTTATGGAGGCCACCCATTCCAGGCCCTTCCCTGGAGACTGTCTCACCCACTGCATGCCATAGCCTCCAAAGTTGAACCCAGAGGCTCGACAGGAGAGGCGGAGGGAGTCTCCAGGCTTTTTCACATCTCCTCCAGACTCCACCAGCTGGACCTCAACTGGACACCTAGAAAGAAAGGCATTTTAAGAAGTCTGCTGCATGTTAACAACACCCAGAATGAACCACCCTTCAATAACTGGTATGAGGAATTTACCTCCTAAAGCTGCTGAAAAGAAAACAAGCTGAAGCAAAGCTATCATTTTTCCTTCCTGGTGCTTTGAGAGATTTGGCCAAAATGTGGTCCCTAGTATGCAGCGGTAGGGAGAGTGTTTGACTGCTTTAAAGAGGAAGCTCTCTCTGAAATTTACATAACCAGGAGGATAAAAGCACCAACAAAGACATCTGACAATGTCTGACTGGAAGCAAATGGTGACCTGGGAAAAATATACTTCTTTGCCATTGTAAAATTTGCATAGCTCTTAACCTTGATGGGCTTATGTTTTCCCATCATGCACACAGGCTCCATGATTTCAAAAATGGAAACCATCAGGTATATAAGTAATGGGGGGTGAGTGGGTTTGAAGTATGTGTCTGAAAGGTACATTTCATTCAAAATTACTTTGAAATTGGTCAAAGAAGTTGCTCAAGGGGAAACATTAAATGTAGATCAATTCAATCTCTATTGTTGTTGTTCTTTAATATCTTGCCCAAACCAGAGAATAAAGCTAGTTTGCACTGGTGAATGTTGTGAAATAGTTAAAAAATATTAGTTTTGCGTGGCATAATTTTTATTTCTTAAAAAAAATATTATTGCTTCTCTAAACTAAGATTAGGGAGGCGGGTGATACCGCGGTCTAAACCACTGAGCTTTGGACTTGCCGATCAGGATTCAAAACCCTGCGATGGGGCAAACGTCCGTTGCTCACTCCCAGCTCATGCCAACCTAGCAGTTCAAAAGCATGCCAAAAGTGCAAGTAGATTAATAGGTACCGCTCCAGTGGGAAGGTAAATGGTGTTTCCGTGTGCTAGCCTTGTGTCAGTGTTCCGTTGCGCCAGAAGCGACTTAGTCATGCTGGACACATGACCTGGAAAAACTGATTGCATAGCAGATAAACACTGGCTCCCTCGGCCTGTAAAGCGAGATGAGCGCCACAACTCCAGAGTCGTTCACAACTCAACTTAACTGTCAGAGGTCCATTTACTTTTGCCCATCATGGACTCAAACTCATGACCCTGAGATTAAGAATATCATGCTCTACCAACTGAGTATGCATGTACTCACCCTCCTTGGCACGCTTTCCAGCTTGTCAATATCCTTGTTTAATTGTGGCACCCTGAACTGGACACAGTTTTTTTAGGTTGAAGCATGCTCACCGGTCTTCAGTGGCTGCCTTCCTACTCAGTTCAGCTGAAAGCAAGAAAAGGTTCTTTCTTGACTTCAGATTCACTTCCCACCACTGTGTAGCTAACAGCTTTGAGGCTATTCATTTGCAAATAGAAGTGGCTGTTTGAATTGTCCGTGGAGATGGTGAAGTGCGTTTTCACCGCATACAAGTAGTAACTTGTCACTGAATCTGTAGCTATCAGTGCCACCCATTCCAGGCCTTTCCCAGGATCCTGTCTCACGCAGTACATGTTGGAGATGGAACCCAGCCATTTGACAGGAGAGGCGGAGGGAATCCCCAGGTCTTTTGATGTCCCCTCCAGACTCAACCATGTGAACTTCTGATTGGGCACCTGGAAATAAAGGCATTTTAGGAGGCCTGTTGTAGGATATTAACACTAAGGGCTCATCCACACTTCTGCTAGTGTGAGCGATTTCCCAGTTGCCTCACTCCTTTCTGAGGGAAAACCCGCTCTTTAGTGATAGATAGGAAGAAATTGCAATCTGGAGGAACCACAAGTTGCAGTTTGCTCCAATGGAGCACTAAAGAGCAATTTTCGGGGGGAGGGGGGGTTACCAGCAAGACAGAAGGAAGCACGAGTAAAGCCTCAACATTAAGCAGTTTTCTTTAACTGAAAGGATGGATTTACCTCCAAAAGCTGCTGAAAGGAAGACAAGTTGATACAAAACTATCATTTTCCCTCTTGAATGAATTGAGATGGTTTAGTGAAAAGTGGTCCAATAAATTCATAGTTTTGTAGCTGTGGCAGGGTGAGTGCCAAACTGACTTAAGGAGGAAACAGTTTCTAAAAAAATTGCATACCCCCCGAAATAAAACCCCACCACCACAGCTCTTTGGCAGCTTATGGTTGCAAGTCTTTGTAATAAATAGCACACTTATTTACTAATGCACTATTTGACCTGTTGTTACCCTTAGGCAAACTATAATCAATTACTATTGTTATTATTATGAATTTGTCTGTTCCTTTATCTCGCCCATGGCAATCCAATGAGACTTACAACCAAAGAGACAAAATACCCCTCATAGATATGTTAAAACCAAGAGGAAAGAGAAATACATTTAAAACACCTCACCCTCTTCTGGTAGACCACGGATAGTTAAATGGCAAAGGTCTGGTTGAAGAGGAAAGGTTTTGCCTGGTGCCTACAGTTGTATAATGATGGTTCCAGGAGAGCCTCACCGGGGAGAGAAAACAGGGAGCCATTGCATAAAAGGCTCATTCTCATTTTGCCACCTGCCAGACATCATGTGGAGGAGGAACATGAAAAAAGGACCTCAAATGATGATCTCAGGATCCGGATCAGGTCTACTAATATTTATTTTTTAAATGTGACTCAGTTCTCTTCTTCATTTACAACAAGGGCCATCAAACATTCTGCAATGGGCACTACACACAAACATCACAATAAGCCACACACCACAGCTTGTTCTATTGGCTACACTAAAGAGCATCTTTGAAATTTCTATTGGGGAGAGAGGTTACTGTGAGAAGTGTTCTCGCCCACTCTGGTGGGCGTCATTGTGGGCTGGCATTCCCCTGCGTGCCACGATCTGGCTTCAGATTCCATGGCAGCTGTGATGGGATGATGAGCTGCTTGTGCGTAAAATCGTATCCCCTCAGAGTTTGTTCAAGTCCACAAACCTCTGTCTGTGACGGAGCCCCTCAGACATGGCTACTCTAGTCACTAGCAGATTCCGACAGTGGTTGCTTTCGTAATCGCTTCCAACATAAAAGCTCCTTAACGGAAACACGTCTTCTGGAATCTCTGCGTGACAGTTTCCGGCGAGGAGTGGGTGTTCTTACAGGAGGTCCTGAAACCTCCCCACTGTTTTCGCTGGAAGTGTCTCTGAGCCATCCCTCCAGCTCAGCTCCTCTCCCCCTGCTGGTTCCCTCTTCAGCTGCTGCGTCTCTCCCAACCTGTGTGAGCCCTTTCACCTCCCTGTTGGTTCCCTCTTCAGCTGCTGCGTCTCTCCCAACCTGTGTGAGCCCTTTCACCTCCCTTCCGTCCGATGGCAGTTCCCTGACATCCACCTCCCCTCCAGGGCCCCCTTCACCCCTCTCGCCCCCTCCTCTACGGGCGGTGAGGAGGCAAAACCCCGGAATGAACTTCCTTCATCTTCCGATGTCTCGAACACTTCTCTCAACCTGTTGCGGTTCCTGGTCTCGAAGTACACCTCCTCCTCAGAGTCCATCTCCCCTTCCCCTTCCGAGTCCGGGAATCCTTCCAACTCCTCCCCTTCATCAGTGGTCCCAAAGTATTCCCTCCGGAACCTCTCCACAGGCTGAGGTTTCCTTGGGAACCTTTGATGGAACGTTTCTATCAATACCTCGTCATTGATATCTTCAGCCATTACCCAAGTGTTTTCTGACTCCGGTTCTCCTTCCCACGCTACCAAATACTCCACCTGATCCCCCTTCCACCTGGCGTCGAGGATTTCTGCCACATGGCTGCTGCATTCTCTTTCTTCTACGACCGGTCCCCGAGTGGCCAGCCCTTCTCGTTCCCCTTCGTACGGTGACAGTAACGACCTGTGAAATACTGGGTGCAGTTTCATGTGGTTGGGTAACCGGAGCCTGAAAGCCACTGGGTTGACCTGTTGAATGACCTCAAAGGGACCCAACCTCCTGGGTCTTAATTTCTTACAACCTCCTTTGAACGGCAACCCTTGGGTTGACAGCCACACCCTATCCCCCACCCTTATGGTTTCACCTTCCCTTCGGTTCTTGTCTGCCTGCCTCTTGTATTCTTCCTTCGCCCTTTCTAAGTTGAGTTGGAGCTGACGATGGATTGCTTCCATTTCTTCCACAAAATGCTCGGCTGCCGGGACGCTCCATCTCTCCCCTCTCCCCTGGGAAAGCCCTGGGATGACACCCATAATTAGCCAAGAAGGGGCTCATCCCTGTGGACACATTCTCGGCATTGTTGTAGGCAAATTCCGCCAGCGCCAACTTTTCTACCCAGTCATTCTCTCTGTCATTGACATAACACCTCAGGTATTGCTGGAGGACACCGTTTGCTCTTTCCGCCTGCCCGTTGGTTTCAGGGTGCCGGGCAGTCGAAAATTGACCTCCACCTGCAGTAAGCTCATGAGCTTCCTCCAGAACCTGGAAGTAAATTGTTTTCCTCGGTCTGAGACCACCCTCAATGGCACCCCGTGCAACCTAAAAATGTTTTCTACAAATAACTTCGCTGTCTCTTCCGCCGTGACTGCATGCGAGCAAGCTACAAAGTGGCACATCTTTGTTAGTAGGTCTACCACCACCATGATGGCTGTTTTCCCTTTGGACTTCGGCAGATCAGTCATAAAATCTATCGACACTGCCTCCCAAGGTCGTTCTGGGGTTGGTAAGGGTTCCTAACAGCCCCGCCGGCGCCCGCCTTTCCCTTTGGCTCGCTGGCATTGCTCGCACCCTCTTACATACTCACGTACATCTTCCCTCACCTTAGGCCACCAAAATTCCCTGGTGACCAACCACATGGTTTTGTGTTGTCCAAAATGCCCCGCCGTAGGGCTGTCGTGCAACTGCTTGAGTACCCTCCCCTTAACTCTCCTTCAGGGATATACAGTGCCCCTTTGTAATACAAAGCTCCATTTCTTTCCTCAAACCCCTGGTTCCTCTCCATCACCCCTAAGACCTCTGAGCTTATTCTGGGCGTATTCATCATTCTCTGTTTCCTCTACCAGTTCTCTTTGTCCCACCAATGCCGCCCCACACACCCAGCGGTCTTCTGGAATGACATGTCTCTCTTCGGGTGCCCCTCCCCCTCCAAATATTCAGGTTTGCGTGAGAGAGCGTCCGCCCTAATGTTCTCTGGGCCTGGCACGTAACTAATCTCAAAGTTAAATTTGGAGAACTCCTGGGCCCATCTCACTTGCCGTTGGTTGAGCACTCGTGCCGTCCTCCAATACTCTAGGTTCTTGTGGTCAGTGCACACTTGCACCTTATGTTGTGCGCCAATTAGCAGGTGCCTCCATCTCCGGAACGCCTCATGAATGGCTAGTAGTTCTCGGTCATACACCGTGTAGTTCCTCTCGGATTTGTTCAGCTTTCGCGAAAAGGCACACGGTCTCCACTCTGACCCCTTCTTGCCTGGCTGCAGAAGCACCGCCCCAATCGCTCTGTCTGATGCGTCAGTTTCCACTCTCATCGGTTTTTGTAAATCCACATGCAGGAGTTGTTGTTCCGAGGCGAAGGCCCTTTTAGTTCCTCAAATGCTCGCTCCGCCTCCTCAGTCCACACGAACTTCTTCTTACTGCTGAGACAGTCCGTAATGGGCGCCGTCAGGTGGGCAAAGTTTCGGATGAACTTACGATAGAAGTTCCCAAATCCTAGGAACCTCTGCACATCCTTCTTTGTTTTGGGTGTTTTCCATTCCAGTACCGCCTGGACCTTGCCGGGATCCATGGCCAATCCCTTGTCTGACAGGCGATACCCCAGGAATTCCACCTCCTTGGTATGAAACTGACACTTCTCCAGTTTCACCCACAGCAGGCTGGCTTGCAGCCTGCTCAACACTTCTCTGACGTCTCTCACATGCTGCTCCTCATTCTCAGAATACACCAACACGTCGTCTAAAAAGGCCACACAATTCTTGTAAAGCAAAGGCCCCAGGACGTGGTTCATAAACGATTGAAATGTTGCGGAGCCTGCTTGTAGGCCGAAGGGCATAACCAAATATTCAAATGCCCCTAAAGGGGTGAACATAGTGGTTTTCCATTCATCCCCCTTCCTTATTCGTACCAGGTTGTACGCCCCCCTTAGGTCCAGCTTTGTGAAAATCTTTCCCTTCCGCACCCTTGTCAAAATGTCGTCAATCCTGGGCATAGGGAAGGCTACTGGTTCTGACACTGCATTTAAGGCCCTGAAGTCACACACCAGCCTCGGCTTGTTCGTGTTTTTCTTATCCACAAAAACACTGGGCTGCCCCCACCGCCCTGGACTCTCTGATGAACCCTCTCTTCAGGTTCTTGTCAATGAACTCTCTTAACTCCTGCATCTCTCTGTCTGACATGGCGTACAGCTTGCCTACAGGGAGCTGTGCTCCAGGGAGTAAGTTGATTTGACAGTCAAAGGGTCTATGCGGGGTAGTTGGTCAGCTTCCCTTTCGCTGAAGACGTCACGGAGATCTGCATATTGTCGTGGTACCTTCACGTTCTCTGTTACTTCAGTCCCTGCTAGGGTGGCTTGGACCCCTGCCAAACCCTTTCCCTCTTTGCAGTGTTCTAAGCAATGTGCTGAACCCAAAGAAACCACTCTCTGATGCCAGCCCACCAGCGGATCATGTAACGCTAGCCAGCTCATCCCCAATATAATGGGAGCTCCTCCCAAGGTGGCCACATTAAAAGCTATCAGTTCGGTGTGCCTTGCTACCTTCATTATCATTGGGACGGTCTGCAAGCTGACTTCTCCACCCAACAGCTCCCTGCCATCGATCGTGGTCACCTGCAGGGGCTGCTTAAAGGGATTGTCTGTATCTGGTGTTCAGCTGCAAACTCCTTGCTCATGAAATTGCAGGAGCTGCCTGAGTCCAACAGCGCCTTTATCTTTAGAGGGTGTCCGTTTGGCAGCTCTAGCGTCACTTCTATCACTAGGGCGGGTTTAGGAGGTTCTGGCGTGGGCACTCTCACTGCTCTTTGGCCTGGCTGCTGTGCCCTGACAGTGGCAGCCAGGCGTTGGCTTTTACTTGCTCCGGTATATTTTCCTCTCTTCCATCCACAGCTCCTACCATCCCTTGCCATTCTTTCCTCTGGGGGCAGACTCTGGCAAAGTGACCTGGCTGTTGGCAGAGATAGCATTTCCGGGCGCCTTTTCCTCCTTCTTTGCCCCCTCACTGGGCTTTGAAACTGCGCGCGCGCGCTGTTCCGATTTCCATCGGCTCTGCCGGTGGGAAAGTTGGCTCTGGAATGTCTGGAATGCGGAACTCCTTCCAACGTTCCCCTTCCCTTCCCGCCTCTCCAATGCTCTCGCCTCCTGGCGCGCCTCCTATGGCCAGCGCTGATTTGGTCAGCTGGTCCATAGACTCCGCCCTGGGCGCCCGGGAAAGTTCGTCTTTCACAGCCGAAGAAAGCCCTTCTTCAAAGAGCATTTGAATGGGTTCCGCCGATAAGTCCCACCCCAATCTGTGAACAAGCATGGTGAACTCAGTCCAGTACTCACGGACAGATCGGCTCCCTGTTTGCAACCCATTAACTGTCTGCGCACCACTCCTTTTCAATATCGCTGGAAAACATCAGATCCATGGCGCGAAACAACGTCATCGTGTCCTTTAATACGTCAATATTCGCTGCCGTCAGGGGTCTAAAGGAGTCTCTATCACCCTTTTAAAGATGCTCAATCACGAAAGCCACTCGTGATTCCTCGTCAGGGAATTCATCAAACTGCAGATTGAGTGCATATTGCATTTCTGTCCGAAAACCATGATAGTTTTTGGGCTCCCCCCCAAACTTCTGCACCAATCCTGGTACCTTTCTGGCGAACTGGGTGGCTTTCCCCCTTTTGTCTGCATCCTGAGCCCTCCTCTCCTCAAGCCTCGCCGTCTGCATCGCTAGGTGGACCTCCAACATCTGGTACCTTTCTTCCAGGCTTGGACCCGCTCCAGCTCCTGCTTCTCCGGTTCCGGCTGGGTTGCTCATGATGCCTTCTCCTGCACAAGCTGCTTTCAAAGACTGTCGGAATGCTGTGATGGGATGATGAGCTGCTTGTGCGTAAAATCGTATCCCCTCAGAGTTTGTTCAAGTCCACAAACCTCTGTCTGTGACGGAGCCCCTCAGACATGGCTACTCTAGTCACTAGCAGATTCCGACAGTGGTTGCTTTCGTAATCGCTTCCAACATAAAAGCTCCTTAACGGAAACACGTCTTCTGGAATCTCTGCGTGACAGTTTCCGGCGAGGAGTGGGTGTTCTTACAGGAGGTCCTGAAACCTCCCCACTGTTTTCGCTGGAAGTGTCTCTGAGCCATCCCTCCAGCTCAGCTCCTCTCCCCGTGCTGGTTCCCTCTTCAGCTGCTGCGTCTCTCCCAACCTGTGTGAGCCCTTTCACCTCCCTGTTGGTTCCCTCTTCAGCTGCTGCGTCTCTCCCAACGTGTGTGAGCCCTTTCACCTCCCTTCCGTCCGATGGCAGTTCCCTGACAGCAGCACAGGAAGGTTTTCGGCCAAACTTGCTGCCTTGACTGTAGTATGCATGTATGCACATTAACACCATTCCAATGGAATTTATTCGATTTATCCATAGCATTTTACCCCAGATTTTCCTCAAAGAATTCAAAGTGCTATACATAATATCCCCGTCCTCATATATTCTTCACAACACTCCAGTAAGGTAGCTTAGGCTGAGAGGATTT